GTTTGGCATCTGCAGGAGCCAATTACAATTTGTAATGGCCACGTTAGGCTCAATCTGTTGAAGCACTGGCAAACCCAGTGCTGTGAGTGCTGAGTTGGGACACATCAGGGTCCTCATCATCATAAATGTTTGGTTTGGGGGAAGGTGACACCCCACTGAAAACCAGAAAGTTCAAGTTCATAATTTCTAGATCAGTTTGGCCACTGAGAAATGAAATCTACAGTTTGTAATGTGGTGTAGTTGAAACCCTCACTGATGACCCAAACCGACTCATGAATTGTAGTTACAAATTGTAAATTGTAATTGGTTCCTGCAGAGGGACCTCCCCGGGCGTGAGGTGGCATGTGTGGAGGTTGAGTCCTTCCCCAGCTCCTCAATTCCTGCCCCAGGCTCGTCCATCCTGTGTGTGAGCTCCGGGTCCCCACGCTCTCCAGGTTTTGGAGGCACACACGTGTGGTGCGTGTCAGCAGTTTGCAGTTCCCTCCCAAAATATTGGGGCTGTTAAACTGTTGGGTTTGCTGTGTGCTTTGGCATGGGCTGAATCTCTTCTTGGATGAGGGGAGTGGGAATGCAGGGTCCCAGAAGGGTGCAGTGAGAAGGGAGTGCATTATCGACAGTGTTTTCCTGGTGAGGTGCAAATGGCCCAGGCTGGGACATGGTCATGGCCTGTTCAGCTGCCTGGCCCCTGTGCTCCTCAACACCCAGAGGTTTCCTGCCCTATAGAAAATCTGCAGATGTTCTCCTGCCCCTGTAGATGCTCAGAGCAGACTCTGTGGGCACCTGCTGAGCTCAGCTGAGCACCACGCAGCCAGTGTGGTCCCAGGGCAGCAGGAGGCTCAGCAGCCCCCTGCCTGAGCTGATGTCTGTGCTCCTATCCAGAGGGCTTGGAAGGTTGAGAAAGGAGCTCCTGGGGTTGCTGGGAGGGAGCTGGGGACCCCAGAGCTGTGTGATGGGCACTGCAGCTGCAGCAAACCACGGTTTGGCAAACAGGATCTTTTTCTCCCTGCCACGGCTGGACGTCCAAATCCCTCTGCGGTTCCGACAGCATCGGCACGCTCCAAGCAGAGCCAGGGCTTCTGAGATCAATTCCAGATACATCAGTGGCCACAGCAGAGCCAGGGCTGGAGCTGTGATTCCTCTCCTCTGGCTCTGAAGGGGTGGCCAGGTAGAACCACGCCTGGGGAAGGTGCTGGTAGTGGGAGGCAGTCCCCTGGAGAGGAGAACGGACAGTCCGTGCTCAGCAGGGACTGCAGGCTGTGTGGTGCCCCTGGAGAGGGACTCCGTGGCTGCTGCTGGTGGCTGGGCTGCTCAAGCACCAAAATTCAGGTCCTGGTGTGCTGTGGGGATCGTTTAATATCCATGATTTCAGCTGCTCCTGGCTTAGCCACTGAACTCCTCTTCCCACCGAGCTCGGGCAGATCAAGTGTCTCCCAGCCTTCGCAGGGATGGGGATGGGGACGGCAAGGAAGGACCGCTGGAAACTGAGCCCAGCTAATCCCTGCCTCCAAGGGCAGACGGGGGTTTTACAGCTCCCAAGCGAAGCATCCGTAGCAACAGCAGAAAACCCCAATGATTCATGGCAGCTTCTCCTCAGTCTCAGCCTGTTTTTTGTTCCCCGAGCAGACCCAGCCTTGCCCAGTGCTTTGCTCCGATGCAGCCGAGGTTTTTTGGGGAGCTCCCCAGTGCCACTGCCAAAGGGCAGTTCCCTCCAGGGCAGGGCTGGGGGGACAGAGGAGGAGGGAGAGGCCGGTTGTGTCTTTGTCTGGGCAGCAGCAGGATTTTGGGAGGTCCGGTACCTCGGCAGCTGTTTGTGCAGCCGGTGCTGGCGCACGCCGGCCCCGCGCTCCCCACCCTCATCAATCACACGGTGGCCGGCAGCCCATCGTCTCCATGGGGCAGCTGGCTCTGGGGCTGCCTCCCCTTCCCTTCCTTTCTTCTTCTGCTTTTGCTTTTCCCTTCCTCTTCCCCTTCCCTTTCCCTTTCTCTTTCCCCTTTCTCCTCCTCCTTCTCCTCCTCCTCCTCCTCCTCCTTCTCCTTCTCCTTCTCCTTCTCCTTCTCCTTCTCCTTCTCCTTCTCCTTCTCCTTCTCCTTCTCCTTCTCCTTCTCCTTCTCCTTCTCCTTCTCCTTCTCCTTCTCCTTCTCCTTCTCCTTCTCCTTCTCCTTCTCCTTCTCCTTCTCCTTCTCCTTCTCCTTCTCCTTCTCCTTCTCCTTCTCCTTCTCCTTCTCCTTCTTCTCCTTCTCCTTCTCCTTCTTCTCCTCCTCCTCCTTCTCCTCCTTCCTTTCCCCTTTCCCCTTCCCCCTTTCCCCTTTCCCCTTTCCTTTTCATTCTCCTTACCTTTCCCCTTCCTATTCCCTTCTTCCCCTCTTCTTTCCCTTCCCCTTCACCCTTTGCTTTCCCCATTCCTTCTTTCCCTTCCCCTCCTCCTGTGGGGTGGAATCAGGGCTGGATGAGACCCCAGGATTGTGCCAGACTGGGACACCCCCTCCATTTTCCCCTGGCAGCCCCCAGAATTGGAGCAGGGACTGGGAGGGGAGCCAGAGACGGAGCTGGCAGGACATCCATGGCACCCCCATCCTCTCCCAGCCCTCCCAGTGAGCTCCACACAGGGCTGGGAAGGGGCTGCTCATCCCAGCTCAGCTCGGGAAGGATCTGTGGGATGAATCTGTGCATCCCTGCCCCCGGTCCCTGCGCAGGCTGGGGGGACTCACTCCTACATGTGGCTGGCAGGTTTGCTCGTGTTTCCAGGGGTGGGAGGGAATCTGGGCCCCTTTCCAGAAGCAAAACAAAAGCAAATCCGAGCTGGCTTTCGGGACGAAGTTCTCTCACACACTCAGGCACCCAAACAGGACGTGGCATGGAGCATGGAGGGGGGCACATGGGTCCTGCCCCACCGAGGGCTCCAGGTGGAGAGGAGCATCCCAAGGAATGGACATCCCACCCCTCCGTGCAGCTGGAAGGAGTTGCTCATTTTCTCCGCCGGGTTTTTCATCCGGCTAATAGCGCTCCAGCCCTCTCGCCAGGGATATTTATGGAGGAAGTTCATGCATCTAACAGCTTAAGCTCTTCTAAGCTCGCAGCCCCAGCACAAAAGGATTTGGGGGCAGTTAACAATTCTGTGTGGTTAAGAGATTTTCATTTCGCCGGGCCTGGCTCGCCGCTCCCGCATGGCCCTGCCCGTTCCTCTCCGGCGAGGGGCTCCACACACACATCTCCCCCAGCCCCATCCTTCCCTCTTCACCTTCTGCTCCCTGCCTGCATCTTTTCTCTCCATCCCCCTGTTCTTTGTCTGCGCCTCCCCCCTTCCCTCCCCTCGCCGTCCCTCCCATGCAGCGCACGAAGCGCATTTCTCTGCCTGCCGTATCCATTGGCTGGGCTCAGGCACGGCACAGCCCTTGTGCTGTGGCTGGACAGCGGGTGGACACTGCCTGCACGGCCTGTGCCTGCTCAGGGACAGCAGCTGATGGCTGCTGCTCCCAGCAATCACCCTTCATCCCCTCTGAGGCTCCTCTCCAGCTCACCAGGGCAGCTCTGGTCTCGGCGTTCTCTTTGTTGTGCTCTGCGCCGAGCACCGGGAGTCCCGCTCTTGCTGGGGTGACAGGGGATGGTTTTGGGATGCAGAAGCTGGTGGTGACACTCTCTGGCTGTCAGGGACATCTGGTGTCGTCCCTTGGGGTCACAGGAGGAGAGGAACTGCTGAGCTGATGGGGAGAGGAGAAACCAGGTTAGGCTGAGGCTGGCAGCTGTCTTCTCCTTGGCTCTCTGTTCTCTGCCCCTCCACTTTTGGGAGACCCTCCTGCAGTGCTGCCTCCAGCTCTGGGGACCCCAACATCAGAAGGACATGGAGCTGCTGGAGTGAGTCCAGAGGAGCCCACAGAGCTGTTCTGAGGGCTGGAACTCCCCTGCTCTGCAGCCAGGCTGGGAGAGCTGGGGGTGCTCACCTGGAGAAGAAAAGGCTCCAGGGAGAGCTCAGAGCCCCTTCCAGGGCCCAAAGGGGCTCCAGGAGAGCTGGAGAGGGACTGGGGACAAGGGATGGAGGGACAGGACACAGGGAATGGCTTTGAATGGACAGAGGGCAGGGATTAGATGGGATTTTGGGAAGGAATTCCTGGATGTGAGGGTGGGCAGGCCCTGGCACAGGGTGCCCAGAGCAGCTGTGGCTGCTCCTGGATCCCTGGAAGTGCCCAAGGCCAGGCTGGAGAGTGCTTGGAGCCACCTGGGACAGTGGAAGGTGTCCCTGGCGTGGCAGGGAGTGGGACTGGATGACCTTTAAGGCCCCTTCAACCCAAACCATTTT